TTTTTTTTTTTTTTGGTAACAGGGATTGAACTTGGGTCCTTGCGCTTGCAAGGCAGGCCACCGAACCGCTGAGCTAAATCCCTGGCCCCAAAATTGAGGTTCTAATAGACTGTCTTGTTCAAGATAACTCTGCAAGTAGGTTGCAGGGAGGGCATGAACTCAGGTCTTTGTGGTTCCAAAGTCTATGCTCTTTCCACTAGGAATGCTTTCATAGAAAAATGGTATACAACTTTAAAAAGTCTAATATCTACCTCTACAGGGAAACAGAGGCATTAATCGGTTGAAACTGACCTCAAAGGTTTTTATGCATAAAATTCATCACTTTTTAAAGAACAAATTAACCTGGTAGGATTTCAAAAAATCAGTTATTGACTTAGAATAGAAAACACATGCCATTAATACTAAATTAAGGAGAGACTCTGGTTTTGGTTTTCTACTGGATTGTTTTTTCTAGCAAAGTATTTTCTAGTTCTGTTTTCGCTCCTCCTCTTATTTTACAGGTTTGACTTTGAGCAAACAAGACTCTCTCAATCCTTCAGTTAAACTAAATCAGGGTGTAACTCAATATGGCAAAAAGAGGATGAGAAGTGCAATGTACCAGCAGGAGAAAGTGTGGGGCGTCACACTGGCTCCCAGTCCCCTGGAAACATCACAGTGGGCTTAAGCAAGGTCTTTGGATTCATTCTTTGCTTTCCATGTTTACAGGGACACAAAACTGGAAATGTCTGAGACAATGAGAAGTATGAGTAAACACTCAAAATGTTCCTCTTTGGAGAAAAGTCTAAAGAAGTTGAAATGGTGAAGTTAAATTACTCAGGTGCTTATTGAATTATTAAATAAAGTGATTTTAAACTGCGAAGGCATGCTGTATAGGTGCTTTTGATCAGCTGTTCTTTGCTGAGAAATAGTACTATCAGAAATAATCTAAAAGTAAGAGGGTAAGAGGGATTTGGTTGGTAAATGAATTCTCTGCCACAGTGGTGAACAAAAATTCCATCTACTAAGCACTAACTATGGAAAAGCACTATGCCAATGCTTTCCCTATATGATTCTATTCTTCACACCAACCTACAGGAAAGGAGTTATTCTATCTCACAGATGAGTGGGCTGGATGTTAGAGAAGCTAACTAACTCCTCTAAGGGTGTACAGGTGGTGACGTCAAAACCCCTCTAACTCCAGAGCCTTCTGACTTAAATCTGCCCACTCACAGGTCTTTGGTTATCACTTTGACACTTTTAAATCCTAACGGGCAACTGACATCTGGTTCCACACGTGGCTTGAGTGCTTCAGGAAGATGCCTGGGCTGATCAAGCCGTTGTGGCTGTTTCCAAGAATATTTATTACACTTACTTAGGCACCCGAACTGAAGGGACTAGGGCCTTTTTCATTCTAGGAAAGGAAACTCCTGGAAACCTGGAAGAACTTGGAGGACCAAAGAACTTGGAGGACCAGAGGACTTAACGGCCACTTTCCAGCAGAGGAGGAAGAATACAAGTCAGGAAAATTGGCATACAGAAGATGGGGCATTAGAATTGCATGTCTAACAAGGTGAATGGGAATGAAGTCTTTGTTCAGAAATGTGTTTTTTAAGTTTGTTAACATCTCACAAAAGCCTTTAAGGGGTAGTAATCTAAGCAGAAGTCTGCCATCGGGATTTTGTTAACATGTGGAAAAACATTTTAAGTGAGGCCCTCAAAACAACAATGGATTCAGCAGATGTTGTTCTTCTAACACTTGGTATGAACTACTCCGAATGCTGCCCAGCCACTCCAGTCACAAACAGGCAAAGGGAAAGAAAATCTGTTTCCCTCTTGCTGCACCCTTTACCTCTGGCCTATCAACTACAGTTAATTCCACCGCAATCTTTCAGGAGTGACCCTATTTTCACATGCCAGGGGAACGAGTGACTTATTGTGAATCTGTTACAAAGTTACAACTTTGAAGCTCCCCGGTATGGTTTCTATGCTATTATACAAGTCCAGGTTACTTTTCTGATTATTTTAAAAACATTTTTACTGGGGGAAAAAAAAAGCAATGCATGCAATAGTTACTCTAAACTAAGCCCAGAAACATTTTCCCCAACTTCTTCCTTCTCACTGCGTACCATCTTTAGTGACGGTCAAAGGCAAATGCAGAAAACAAGAAAAAAACCCTTCTTCATTATCAGGAGAGAACAAGGTAAATTCCTAGGTATTTACTCAGGGCTCAGGCACCTAAACAAGGGGCACACATCCCCAGTCTTGCACTCAGAGGACTCATCTGTAGGGAGCAGGAGCTTGGCTTGCACACCAAGATGAAAAGGTACCAGAAGATGACATTGCCAGGGAACTCAGCACTTTACAATTTGTTTCCAAGGTTCTCCTCACTTGATTTTTTTACAACAGCTTTACAAAGTAGGTAGCAAATATTAATATCTTTATCACTGCGAGGAGAAAATGGAGGCTCAAAATAGATGACTGGACCAAACTGGAAGTGAAACTGGGATTGCAACAGTGTCTACACCAGCAGTCTTCATAATAATCTGGAGAGTTTACCAAAGACTCACATACCTACACCCCACTCCAAAGAAGGCAGTTTATTGGTCCAGCAGGTCTGTGGGTCGGGGGTGGGTGGGGGCCCAGGCATCTGCATTTTAACACGGTCCCTGGGATGCAGAGGCAGGGGTCTTCACACCACCTTCTGCATTCTGCTCTCTCTCAAATCTGCCTCCCATCCCAGAGGCATCAGATCACCGACTATTTGTAAGGTCCTATAGGCAACAGGAAGGGAAAAAAATACAGGTGTACTCTTTAAGCCTAGTATGGGAAATAAGACATTTATGGAGACAACTAGCAAAGAGGTGATTTCTGCTAAATGCATAGGTAGGAGAATGCAGTGTGGTTACATGATAACCAGAAGGCAAGGCAAAGGAGCAGTCAAATCAAGACTGAGGTTGGAAGTCAGGAAGGTACAGACGCTACTTAACGAGGCAGGGCTGTGGCTCAAAGGCCAGCGAGGGAGTGAGGAAAACAGACCACGGGTCACAAGCCACACTGAGCAGCTTTCTGGCCCATGGCGAGAGGCAGTCACACTACTTCAAGCTGCCCAGGATGTCTCCTGGGGAGAGGGCATCTGCCTGCAATGGGTACAAGAAGATCCTGTTGCAAAGCCAATGGTGAACTGGAAAGAAAATCTAAGGTTAAAGAAAAAAGGTTCATTCATAGAGTGAGACATGTTCTAGAGATTAAAAAAAAAAAAAAAAAAAAGGTCCAGGTCTCAAGAATAAATCTCTACTGGCTTCGTTGCTTAAAAATTCTCCTTTTCACTGTCAGCTTCCAAATCTGCAACTCTAGCTCAGACATTTTCTGAACTCAGAACCCAGATAGCCAATCGCCCACTCAACACTTCCACTTGAAGGTTTTCAAAATGCTTCTCGAACATGACCGGATTACTAGCAAACGCTGCCCACAAAACCTACTGCTTCGGCACGCACCCACTTCCAAAAGGCAGTTCCCACCTCCTGGTTCCAGACCCAAAGCCTCAGTTTCCACACTTGCCTCCTCTACTCCCCTCTCTCTTTCACTCCACACCTCTGGCCCTCTGCATCACTGCCTGCCCATGGATAAGAGCAGCCGCTCCCACCTCAGGGCTCCGGGCTGGTTCTGCTGCTGGTCCCTCTGCTGGGCACTCTCTTCCTAGCCATCCATGGACATGGTTCCTTCACCTGCTTCCAGTCTCCCCCGGCACCCCCTTCTCGGTGAGGCTCCCTGACCATGGCCTGGGCCGCTTCCCTCTTTGCTGTGCTTCTGCCCAGGGCCTGCACCTCCAGAAGACTCTGCAAGTTGGATTTTGTTCACTGTGCCTTCCACTGCCCATCACTACTCTTCAGAACAGGGACCTTTGCCTATTTTATTCTCTTCTATGGCCCTAGGGTGGCAGGGGGTGGGGAATGCCAAGCTATTAGGTGCTCAACATCTATAGGACAGCTTCAGCATCTTTAATTTGAAAATCCAAAACCTGAAACTTTCTGGGTACTGACACGATGTTACAGCGGAGAATTCTACCTGTAGCTGCATGTGACTGGCCGCATTCAAAACACAGGTGCACTAAAAATACCGCACAAAATTAACTTCAGGTTATGTCTGTAAGGCATATATTTAATATAAATGAACTTCATGTTTACACTTGGGCCCCATCCCCAGAATCTCTCTTTATATATGCATATATGTAAATGTTCTAAACAATGAAAAAGAACCAAAATCCAAAACATTTCTGGTCAGAAACATTTTAGACAAGGTTTACTCAACCTGTATTAGAGGTGGATGCAAATAGGAAAAGATAATGGGAACCAATTTCACAAAATAGACATCGAGATACATTATATATACTTTATATAACATATATAATCTAGATATAATCTCTCTGTATGAATCACAATTTGTATCTTTTCTTAAACAGTCATTGTTGTAGAAAGGAAGATTTTAAGGGTTTAGGGAGGGCAAAGGTTGGCAAACTCTTTTGGTAAAGGTCCAGGCAACAAATATTGTTGGCTTTGCTGCCATGGAAAATATGCAAACGACGAGCATGGCTGAGTTCCAATACAATTTTATTTATGGATACAGAAATCCAAACTGCACATCGTTATTACAAGTCATAAAACATTATTTTTAAAATGTTTCTCCAACTAATCAAAATACGTAAGATCTTTCTTCGCATGCCAGACAAAAGCAGCTGCAGGCTGGGTTTTCCTGGGCCTTAGCTTGCTGATTCCTGACCCAGGATTATAAGATTATTTGACGTTTCTATAGAGGATGAAAGGGGGAAACATATCCGGGAGGAAATTCAGGCAGAAAAGACCTGGGACAGGTTCTGAGCAGAACGAAAGCAGGCCCTTTGGTCAAACCTCTTAGGAAGAGAGTCAGATCAGCAAGTGTGCACGAGGGCCGGCCTTCCTCAGGCACAGAGGTGAGCATCAGGCCAGTCGTGAACCGTGGGAGTTCTCACAGTGCTACTGGATCATAACTGTGCTAGAGAGAGCTATTTATATGATTTCGAGCGAAGCTTGAGGCATATTCTGGTGCTTCTTACTTCTATGTTAGGTGAAAAAAACTGCCTACAAAAGCCTTCCTCCCACCCAAAATACTAACTGTTAGTTGGTGACTGATCCTCTGAAATATTAAGATGAATCATATATGCTCTTTTCACAGTGCAAAAAGAGATAATTTTAAAACTCTGAAAATGTCACTTTGGGTAGTCACAAACCACACAATAGAAAAGCTGTCCAACTTTAGAGTTGTAAATAAATAAAGCCCAGTTCCTGCTTGCTCCTTGTTTGAGTCGAGAAGCTTCTTTGGACCTGCCTCCATGGCTGGCTGGTGTGAAAATGCTGAAATGTGAAAACGTGTTCAGTCCCACAGTCTGAGGCTGGAAGGCAGCCTCTGTTCCCGTCCCTTTTCCCTGGGGCCCCTCACTTCTGGTAAACCACGCGCTCAGCCCCTCCTTTCTCCAGCAGCCTCGCTCTTCTCACCTACAGGGAGCCAGTGGCCTCCCTGACCTCCTGGCTAAAGGGCACCAGCTGCCAGGAGGGCTCACAGTCCCTACCCCAGCACAGGAAAGGGCTCCTGCCTTTCTTTCTTCACACTGCATGGAGAAGCAGGTATTTTTGTCTTTGATCCCTAAGCTCTGTTTTCTTTCTCTTGTTACTAAGCAGGTCACTCCCTATCCACACCTCCCCCTCCCTTTTTCTGCAACTTCATCATTTTTCCACACTGCACTGTTTGGCACAGAAGGAGGAACCACATCAAATGAAGGAATGCAACCGCAAAAGCTGCCTTGAGAAACAAGGCCCCAGTTTTTTTTTTTTTTGTCAATTTACCGTTTTTGGACTTGTTCTCCCATAATCAAATCCTCCCTATCGTGTTAACAATGTGGTGGTGTGTCAAAACATTGGAATTCTGCTGCTATCAGCAACCCAGAGCTTAATAGGAAAATGAAGCAACAGAAATGTTGGTCTTGCTGCTGACCTTAAGCTAGGCCTGTTGTTAAGATGGGACTGTTTGCTTCTCTATGATACCTGGGCCAAACTGTCAGTCTCCTGGGAGCTCCAGGTTGTCAGCAGAGGCTGAAGACAGTGTCCTGACCATCACTTAGGCAAGTTCCTAAAGCAAGAGGGACAATCAGTCCAAGGACTAAAGCTGAAGCATGAAAAGGCCCAAAATTCAGTAAGCCAGAGAAAACTTCAGACTGAAGTACTTGCAAAAACTTTAGGCACATTCGTCTTCCTAGCAGCAATGCTTAGGTCTGGCTCTGTGACACTCATGATGTCACCAACAGACTTGTGTCGAGTGGGGTTTTTGTTGTTATTATTATTACTTTTTTTTTTAGTTAGTAAATTAAAACCTCATGTTCATCATAGAAACCACTCAGGTGTTAAAATAAGGTGCCACCATTCCAAATCAAAAAGAAGTTGTATTCTGTGTCCTGAGG